ACCTTGGCAGCACCAGTGGATTCAGGGATGGTGTTCTGGGCATCCCCATGGCCATCACATCACAGACATATATATCTCGAACTTAGGTATTTCGTTGTAATAGTAGAAAATGAATTAATGCAGTTACCTTTAGTAGGACTGCCAAACTGCTTTTCAAAATATATACAAAATTTTATCTCAAAAGCAACGAAATATAATGGATTCTAGAATATTTCGGTTATACTTTTGTTATGTTTCTGTACAACGCTGGACTAGGGCTTAAGGTCTTGACTATTACAGGAAGGCACTATACTTTGAACACCCTCGCCCCCAACCATCCATATAGCTGCCAGTGCTTACTGTATCCCTCCCCTTTCCATCTCCCTCTCTAAATCAGATTAGCTTTGATTCAAGATCCTCTATCTCCCAAGAGCTGGATTTATCTGCCTGCACCACCACACCCTGCCTAGCTTGGTTTTTGTAACCATCCTGATGGATGTGAAGTATGTCTTATTGGGGCTCGGATTTGCATTCCTGGACACTAGTGATACTGAGCCTCTTGAGTGTGTGTTGGATGTGTATTTATCTTCTTTGGGAAAATACGTTGTAATTCCTTCCTAAATACTGGGTTTCAAACATTTACTGTTGCCTTATATAACTTCTATATACTGTATATTCTGGATACAAATCCCTTATCAGATATATGACTTGTAAGAAATACATTCTCCTGCTCTTTGTGATTTCTTTATGATGTGCCCTGAATTGCAGTGCTTCAAATTTTGGTGAAGTCCAAAATACCTATAGTTTCCTCTTATGGTTAATGCTTTTAGTGTCAAACATAGGCAGCTATAATTTAACTCACAGCCATGAGGAATTATGCCAAACATTTTTTTCTAAGGGTTAGCTCTTGTGTTTGGTGCAACGAGTCTTTCTTTGTACTGACAGCCAGCTCACAAGTCATGACACAGAGACTTCTTATTGATTATGAATGCTTGGCTTTAGCTTATGCCTGTTCCTAAATAGTTCTTATAATTTAAATTAACCCATTTATATTAATCTATGTTCTGCCACACAGCTAGGTTACCCCATCTCTGTACTGCTCATCCTGCTTCTTCCATGTCTGACTGGAGTCTTCCATATGTCTAGATTCATCCCTCTGACCTCTCTCTCTGCCAGAAATCCTGCCTATTCTCTCCTGCCTAGCTTTTGGTCATTCAGAAATTTAGTAAGACAATCACAGCAATACATCTTCACATTGTGTACAAATATCCCACAACATTTTGGGATTTTAACTTTTGTGTATGTTATGAGACAGGAAATCTAACTTATTTTGTTGTATGTAGATATCCAATTTCTTTCTCTACTGCATTGTCTTGACATACTGTTAAAAGTCAGTTGAAGGACTGAAGAGATAGCTAAGTGGTTAGGACTCCAGTTTGGTTCCAAGTACCAAGGTCTGGTGGGTTACTATCAACTTTAACTCCAGCCCTAGGGGATCTGATCCCCTTCTTTTGGCCTTCACAGGCATCAGCACACACGGCATATACATACACATAAAGTAACATAAATGCTTACAACAAAAGTTAACCTTAAATGTATGAATTTTTTAAATCATGAATTATATTGCAATGACCCATGTTTGTCTTCAAGGAAGTAGCATGAGGATCTTGCATGACTGTAGGCTTGTATAAGTTTTGGAATTCAGAAGTTTGGGTCCACCATCTCTTTCCATAATAGGTTTATAAAGAAAAAAAACTGATAAATAAGGAAATGTATGAATGCTTAGTGTTTTTGGAAGTCTCATTTTATTGGGGTAGGTAAGAAACACTGAGCTGGTAGTTCTTAGGGTATGTGTCCTAGGAAAAATGCGTTAGGATTGTATTTTATAAAGATAGCTCAGGAAAGCACAAAACACCCCATTTCTGAGTCCCCTGTAACTGGCAGTGAAGTTGGTACTCAATAAATGTTCCTCAATGAATACCTTATCAAATGTATCAGTACACAAAGATACACAACACACTAAGTTTCTGGTTAGTAATTGGTAGCATTTCTTGTTTTGTTTGTTTGTTTGTTTTTTATTAACAACAAACTCCAGTTTAGAATCTTGTTTTTTGAAACTTGTGCTATTTTTCTGCATATAATATTCTAGGCAGATGATTTTCCAGAATAGAATCATTAGCTCTCTCATCCCGAGGGAGGCTTTTCTGATGCTCTGTGTATACTATTGATCTTCACAATGAATGTACAGTTTTGCACAGTCTACCATGCTCATGTGAACCAAAGGAGAAAGCAGTACCCTATGTCAAAGCTTAGGCCAGCAAGTCTTTGTGCCTCTTCCTAACTGGTACACTAGATACACCTGTCTGCTGTGTACTTGGCACACTTGACTTTGTTTTCTTGTGCTTACCTCAACTTGTTGCCATGGGTTATTTGAAGATTTCAATTTTCATATTTTCCTTATCTTCCTCAGGCAAGACTAGCCCTGCTAGCCACATACTGGTACTTAGTAAATATTATTTGAAGATTATCCTATTGTTTCCTCGTTTCGATACTCCAGTTACTTACAGAGAGGCTACAGACTGAGTTTGGAGTAACATGCTTAAAGGCAGAACAATAAGTCACGGGCAAAATCTAGCTTTCCTTATAATGGCAGTCATTCACTTTCTCTGCAATGAATTTACCTAGCAGGTTGGAACATTTGAGCATTTGACAGTCTCCAGGATCTAGCAAGTCCTTGGAAGCCCTGGCTAAAACCAAGAGTCCTAGATAGCAATTCTGACTTCTCCACTGTCTGAGAAATTTTGAGATTTCACTTTCAATTTAGTTCCTTCATTCAGTAAACATCAGCTCCATTGTGTACTTACTAAGGTGCTAGATAGAGCAAGACTGTTGTGGAATATTCTTTAGCACGGTGTGAAGATGTGTCACTGTAATTGGTTTAATAAAGAGCTGAATGGCCAACAGCTAGCCAGGAAGAGGATAGGTGGGACTTCTAGGGGCAGAGAGGACCCTGATAGAGGTGAGTTGAGATAGAGTCACCTGAAAGGTGAGTTGCTAGCCACATAAAGGAAGCAGGGAATGTAGGAAAGGTAAAAGCCATGAGCCACATGACAGCAACAGACTAATATAAATGGGTTAATTTAAATTATAAGAATTAGTTAGAAATAAGTCTAAGCCAAGGCTGAATTTTTCATAATTAATAAGTCTCTGTGTCATGATTTGGGGCCTAGTGGTCCAAGAAAGGTCATTTCTTGAGTGTTTGGAATCTAGATAGACATTAGTAAGTTAAGAGTTTAGAACTCACCTCTCCCCTACACAACTAGAAAGGGAAGTGTCTCTTATGACTTAAATTACTATGTAAAAGGTAGAAGTTTTGTTGGGGAGCATTGAGACAAAGTTACTTTCTCCTGGTCAAAAGAATAGAATGTGATAGTTCTGTGTCTAGCCCAGGGAAGAGGCACAACAGGCTAGACTGTAATATAAAGGGGAGGGGGGAGGAATGATAATTCCCTTAAAGATACACTTTTCCTTCCCAAAAGCCCTCACCCACGTTGCAGTCACTGTCAGTCTCTTGCTAAGAGCACTGTGGCCCTGGCCTTCCTGCTTTCCTGAGCTCTCTTTCAGGAAAGGGTGACTTCCCCTCTGCACTGTTGGCTTGAAGACACCAGGCATGCATCTGTGAACACTCTGGGCTCACTTCCCTACTTTTCTCTAAAGCCACTGTTATCAGAATTACAGGGCACAGCCTGTGTTCCAACTCAGGTTTGGCTATCTTTCCCAAACAAGTCAACTGAAAGTGCCAAGTGGATAATGGAAAGCAGAAAAAGGAGACTTACACAATGAGGCCACACTGGAAAGAGAGACAAATCTACAAATCCTGCCTTGGAGTTGAATCTCATGACATGAGGGTAAGGCTTAAACACAAAATAAGAGGCATGCCTAACTAAACACTAGCAAGCTCATCACTGTCTCTGCTGCAAATCTCTTCTGCAAGGTCATCCCCAGAAAATAAGTTTCTTCCCTGGCAGCCTCCAGGACTTCAGCCATTTCTTCTCCCAGTGGTAGATCCTTGGGGGGAATTCTAATGTGTGTGTGTCCATGTTTTTCAATGGGCTAATAGCAAAAGAGGGAGCACAAATGTATGTTTAGAGCATACCCATTCCTGCCCTGATAGGCGGATTACACCATCCCTTACCAGTGTAACAGCTGGCCAAACTCCATTGCTGAACCTGTTGGCCTGCCTTTTCTAGTCCTTACTTAAAGAGGCCTGGCTTTTTCTTTTTCCTCTCCTCCCTTCTCTGGCCACCTGCCATGTTTTGCAGTTTGCCTGCCCTCTCAAACATGAATAAAATTGTCTCCAAGCTTCCTTCTGAGTCTTTTAAAATTCTTTAAGGAGACTCAGAATCCCTAAGGAAGGACCCAAAATAACAAACGGAATTTGCATTCCAGTGGAATGGTGGCGCGTAGCATAAGCTACAGGCTGTTTTTCCACACCAAGAAATAGTCTCCAAATTCAATCTGAATGTCTGGAAACTAAATTTAACAGTGGATTGAAACTCAGAATAAAGCAAATGCTACTGTTACCGCGAGTAGGTACCAGTTTGATATATATCTGGCTTCCCTTTACAAAGGAAACACGGCTGTTTTTTCATTTTTCTGGGTTGTCCTACAATACTGGTTGTGAATCTCCCTCTTGCCTCGAAGTTTAGCAGCCGCACCCACATTCAAAAGGCCTTGAGTGGCGTGTCATTTGGTATTCTGAGGAAAGCTTTTCTAAAGACTTCCTTTCGCCCATGCATTTCCCAGGTGACTTGAGTTAGGGGTACAGGAACGTCGATTTTTTGCTTAGCGCGGGAGCAAGACCACCCACTGAGAAGCCGGTACCTAAACACATGAACCCGAGGAAGGGCTTCAGAAGTTGATGAATGCCATTGGCCCTGCAAGTTTCAAAGCGGAGCTCCGTCCCTAGTCCGGAAGCTTTTTAGAAACACGTTTTTCCAAACTAAGCGTTTGCCCCAGCTATGCGTGTCCCGCCAAAGCGCCACATAACACGACAGCCGCACAACCCACAAATCCAGCCTCCCGGGTACCTGGAAGCCGGTTACAGCAATCAGGTGGCCACACTCTCACTGCGCATGCCCGAAGCCCAGAGCCCGTCTCGGCCACACCCACGAGGCCACCACCTAGGGGCGGGGCGGCCCCGCTTGAATGGGGCGCGCATT